AATTGTCAGTAAACAGTGCTTAAAGGAATAGTTTAGTGAATAGAAAAGTGAAAAAAAACGTATCTTTCCAGTACTACGGAAAGGGCACGTCAAGACAATGTTTACGAGAGACTTAAAGGCAGCTAAAAGACCTCTTAAATTTTAAGTAAACGCATGTTTTCCGACCAAAAAAGGTCCATAAATAATGCTTAAAGGAATAGTTTACAAAGACTTTACGGACATAAAAGGTGCGTAATGGCACCGCTAAAGTGAAAAAAAAACGTATCTCTCCAGTACTACGGCACGTAAAGACAATTTTTACGAGGGACTTAAAGGCAGCTAAAAGACCTTAAATTTTAACATTCAAAAACTAGGCCTGCAGACAAGTTTCTATGTTTCTCTACTATGTTTGCACTTTTACGTTTGCCTGCTGCATTGTTCTTACTAAGGAATGTCAATATAAAGCATTTGTTTTTTGTGTAGCATGTGCTGTCATCAAAATCGTCACAGTGCTGCGGGTTTCAAAATTGCTATTTTTCATCTACATGTATATATGAAGAGTTACATACATGTATCAGATGTGTTTTCTTCTTTAAGTGGTCTCGTACCAATTTTATAAATTTGGGTAATATCATTTTAACAACTTCTACCTCAATAACGCCAGTAAAACCTTCGTCAGCCGAAATGTCAGCTTTTTTCAAAAGCACTTGTTTATTTTCTTCCTCCTATCTAGAACATGTACTCTTTCAGTGGTGAAGTTGGTGAGGAGTCAGGAAGCTGGTCGGGTGCTGTATCATAAAGCAGATGCTAGAAGATGACCCTGCTAAAGTAAAGCTGTTGAGATTTAAAGTGTTTGTCCTTGTATCTTTGTAAAAAAAGGAAGATAATTGCCAAGTGCCATTTTTTTGTAAATAAAGCTGTCGAGATTTAAACAGCTTGTCCTTGTAAAATGAAGTAAATTTATTGAGAATATTCTATTTTTCGCATAAAATTTCATCAGGTTGGAAGATACTTAGGTTATAGAGTTTTCTTCATACACAACTAGAGAGGTTCTCACCTGCTTACGTTTCGATGTCTATCAGACACCTTCGTATCCCCCCTCGTCCCGGTTCATCACAGGGGTTGATTTTCTTATCCAGACAGCTTCTTTAATCCATCGGATTCTTCTGTTCTCCCTATCTATGACCCTTGCTCCCTCTCAAGCTCAGCCACGTTTGGGATTGCATTCTCGCCGCAAAAGCGCCACCTACTTTGGCGTTGAATAGCGGCGAGTTGCAGAACTCCAGTCAGAAGCTCTGAGGAAGGTGTCTGATAGACATCGAAACGTAAGCAGGTGAGAACCTCTCTGGTTGTGTATGAAGAAAACTCTATAACATATAATATTTTTGTTTGGGGAGGGAGATGGAGTGAAATATTACATTTGCTCCAAAGCAAATATTTGCCTTTCTTGTTATTCTTAAATTTCATAAATACTTCCATTTCTTATTGGTGATAAAATATGCATGGCGTCATTTCATGACGTCACCGTTGTTGATATAGGCAACATAAGACTTTGTACACACTAATATTCTGTCATAAACACTTTTGGTAAAGTTATGTTGTTTACCGTTTAGTTTTCAGGAAAAAAACTATCTAGACGGTTTGGCCAATAGAATCACATTAATGACGTCATAATGACGTCATACCACGTCATAATGACATAAAAATTATAGATATGATAAATTTTCACTATTTCACCATTCTCTAAAAATTTGGTGGTCATACGACATACCGTTCGCGAGTTCTGAGGGGGGGGGTCAAAAGAGCATTTTTTGCTAAATTTAGTACTTTTTGTTTCAACAATAGAATTGTATGGGTTTCATGTCAAGTTACTCATGGTTTCTAATATTACTAACATCTCATATAATTTTATGTAAATTTTATCATTAGATATGTATAATTTATGCTAATTTGATGACGTCATTGGCCAAAATCCAAGATGGCGGACCATATCATTAGAACAGGTATATACGGGTTATTTTCATTAAAATTTCATCAATACTTCCATTCTTTTTTTTGAAAAAGGTTTGAATAAAGGCCTTTAGTATGTTTATAATGTATTTTAGGCTTTATCATGAAAAAAAAATATTTTCAAAAAATTCAAGATTGATGATCCAAGATGGTGGATATCTTAAATATGCATGACGCCATTTTATGACGTCACAGGTGTTGCTATGGGCAACATAAGACTTAGTACACCCTAGTATTCTGTCATAAACACTTTTGGTACAGTCATGTTGAATACCATTTGGTTTTCAGGGAAAAACCTATCTAGACGGTTTGGCCAATAGAATCACATTAATGACGTCATAATGACGTCATATTACGTCGTAATGACATAAAAATTATAGATATGATAAATTTTCACTAGTTCACCATTCTCTGAAAATTTGGTGGTCATACGTCATACCGTTCACGAGTTCTGAGGGGGGGTCAAAAGAGCCCCCCCCCCCGTGTACACTATACGACATCCAGTAGATTTCTAGCGGAAACCAAACAGAGGGCTGTTGACAGGTCACCGACTAGTGGCTATTAGCACCTTGTTTCATGTAAATGCCATGAACTCAACCAGAGCGCATAATTGTTTCTTCAATTCTTGTTTACTCCAGTACTAAGTACTAGTACTTCCACAATTAGTTTGTAAAATCACATCTCAGTAAAATCTACTTTGATGAACGAATCGAAATGGTACTGTAGACATGAAGTTTTTACACATTCAAATGGGGCTGCACTTGCACTAATGGAGCGATCACTACGGGAAGGAACTGATCATAGCGAAGCCGAGATTTGTGAAGCAAACCCAACCCATCGAAGACGGGCCGCCAAACACAAAAATGGAGGGAAATGACAGACAACAAGCCAACAAAGATAACGTCAGCAGACCAACAAACTTGGAGAACACCACAGCAACTTCAAGCGCTAACGTTGTAAGAACTGTAGAACCTAAAACTACTGTGTGTTTGTTTGCGTCAGCGGAAAGGCTGCCGAAGCAACCACTACATGAAAAACTCCGACGAAAAAGTAACATGTGTTCGTTGGTCCCAAATCTGGACGCAAGTAGTGAGCTACAAAAGTATTAGAACCTATGCATCTTGCTTGTTGCTGTCAACTTACCCGTTAAAGATTGAACGGATACATTTGCCTACTATAACTTGCCATACCCTGCCAAACACGACTACATTACTTTTACTCTTCATTTTGTGCTGTATACTGTATAATGTTTATGCGTTACATTATCTATCATTGTCATTTCTGTGAATTCCTTAAAACATCTACTATTAGTTTGTGTAACATTACTTAGAACATGGCCACCTTTCCTCAGCCAATCAGGAGCCTGTATTTCATGTGACTAAATCCACATAGTGCGGTCCCCAAAGGGACAGGGGTGTACTAACCAACAAATAAATGTAACTAACTCGAAGACGCCCATGTACTAACCAACGCATAAATTGACTAAGTTGGAGACGCCCACCATTCAAATGCAAATAAAGTGATTAAAAAATTAACAACACAAGAAAACAGCAGTTTGATCAATTTCCCTGTACATCTTTATTCAAAAAGGTAGTCAAAACAAAGTCATGACAAGGAAAGTGAACAACGAACAGAGAATGAATAATGAGTATGGATGGAGCAAAAAAACCAGAAGGTTTCTTACAAATGTCATGTATAACGAGAGTTTCTCATACATTGTAAAAAAAATGAAACACAGAAGCTCCAAACTTTTAGCGATACATTAAAACGATGCAAATTCTTCCCAACATGTCTGACATGATTTGCACATTCTTAAACTTTGAAAACAAACCACGGTAAGACTAAAAAAAAAGAATACACCAACATGCTTAGACAGCAGGGTAGGCACTGGGCGAGGGAAGGAGGGGTTAGAGCAAGAACGAGTCGGCCCGGGAACAGAACACTGAACAGGCCGGCATAGATGCCAGGACCAACTTGTTTGGGATGAGGTCAGCGACTGCTGTCTCCGACAGACAATCCAGAATTTTTAACCCTAAAACAGAAGGCATTGTGGGGCTAGCAAAGTGTTGTAAACGATGACAAGAACCGCTATGCATATTTCACATAAGGCTGCGAGAAGTAGCTCAGCTGCAATTCATGAATGAGAACAAAAGGACGTACTACAAGCTGTAATGTTTTTGGAAAGGTTTGTAGGAAAACAAACGAGTGGTTTTTGAAGAAAACAAAACATGATTGTGTAAAATGTATTTCTTCTGCTTCGGAAAGATGGCCATGTTCTAAGTCAGTCAAAGGATTGGCGAATTGCTCGTATATGTGGATTTGGTACAGCCCCGCACCCCCCTCGGATTTTGTTGGCACCCCTCGGGCTCCGCCCTCGGGATGCCATCAAATTCCTTGGGAGGGTGAGGCTGTACCAAATCCACATAAACTCGCTCCGCCCATCCTTTAACTAATACGTAGTGCTACAATCTGCGTAAAAAGTAGGCTTCATTGCGTGTTAACTGCTAAGTCGTCATGGTACTGAAAACTGTTTCATTGTGCCGTTCTTCTACGAACAGCCAGCAGAATTATGAAGATACCCGTTCCCATTACACATGTTGCAAAACTAAGTAATGGCATTCCTACGAAAATTCTCTTTGTAATGTAAAACCGCTTTATATCGACGAACAATGGTTGTGAAGTACGTGTTTTCGCACATCTTGTGCCACCGGATCAGTGGTAATTGGCTACTCTACAAGTGAAAGAACCGGTTTCGTGGGCCTTGATAAATTATTCAAATTATTCAGCAGCCCTCTGATTGGTCCCCGCTAGAAATTTACTGGATGTCATTCAGTGACGAGCCCCCCCCCCCTCCGGCTAGATAGGGTTAAGAAAGCAAAGTCATAGAATTAACATCTACTTAGACGATTTTTATATAATGGTGGATATATGTAATCCCGTAAAATCGCGTGAAAATATTCAAAATTTTTCCTATTCGTCAAATAAACGACCACATTTCTGTCCAACATTTTTCTTTAGATTATAATTAGTGACAATAAATCTTGAAAACCAACTTTAGGAAATCGGTGTAATATTTCTCTAGACACGTTCATTAGCGTTGTTTCAGACTGGTAGCGCTTAAATATGAAGCCCAATGGTGCAGTTTCTTGTGTTGTCAGAAAAATCTCCGTTTTTAATGTGATTGCCGTGTTTTATCTGGTTCCTGTGGAATACAAAAAAAATGAATAGAAGTAAGATATGTTTATTATCAGTGCAGAAATTCCTAAGAAGTACATTACACTAGCAACTGGATGGATTCTAAAAATCGTGATACGTTTTTCTTTTTTTTCTTTGCGGGGGAAGTTGGATATACTGCTGATGATAAATACCACGTAAGGTTGTTAATGGTTGCTATAGTTGATCGTTTTGGCTAGTGTATAATTATTGTGGGTAGTAATGCTAAGTAAACCCATATTTCTGGAGTGAGCCCTTCATATAAAATCCAGAAATAAACTCCATTTAAAATGACATTATTTATGCAACGTGTAAGTCTGACAGACACGGCTTAGAATATTTGCGTAACAACAGCGGTAAATACTGGGTAAGTCTGATAGTGGTTGCCTGAATGCCTGCCTACCTGCCTATGTCCACAGCCCCTTACTTCCCTCTGTTGCCTGAATACTTACCACCAATTATTTATAGAAGAAAGCTATTATTTCATTTGTTAGGTATTGCTATTTTTCATACTTACGTTATATTAATCTTGTTTTAATATATGTATATGCGTTCTATTAATATTTGTTTTATTTTTTATTTATTTTATGACGATTTACCACATTTGTGGAAGGATTGACGTAACAGGTGACTATCACCTCTTCAAAGATGTCAATCCTGGGACCAGACTGTAAGGTTTGAACCACTCACACCGGGAAGGTCCCCTACTGTTTTAGATAAGTGCGGTGGGTTCTTTACCGAGCGTGGGGTGTGGCTCTCCCGAACACGGGGCCTCTATAAAATGTCCTATCCGAGGGACGTCCCTAGCCAAAGTTTAGTACTCATTTACACCTGAGTGAAGTGAGGAAAGTCGTGTAAGGTGCCTTTCCCTAGGGCACAAGATCGTTTGCTTTGGGCAGGATTTGAACCTTCGCCCTTTCGAGTCTGGGCCGAAGACGCTACCGCTACGCCACACGACCCCACTTTTGATGTATGCATTATGATGCCTGGTCATCTAGTCAGGAGCCTAGCCCACTGCTGACCTTGCAATGAAACTCATGGTTAGAGGTTTTAAAAACGGGTCTCTTACCGAAACAAATCAGCAGCTGTCTTGTTGTAGACCCACCCAGGTGTAACTGTGGGTATGGACTGCACGGCTTTCTGGTCGGCCTTGAACTTCTTCGTAGCAGCTAACTCCCCAGGTACCCATTTGTAATAAGAATGATTCTTCCTGACATGAAACAAAAAAGACTGATATAACAGCGGATACAAACGTCAAAGAACAATAATGACAAACGCTTAAAACAACACACACTTAAAGAAGCCTACGTTTTATTGGTTACTGCAGGAGAGAAAATGATTAGGTACACAGGCTTTTACTGTGGAACCCGAACCATTCAAACAGGTGTCAAAGGCATGCATTAAAAAACTGGCAGTGATATGAATCTAAACCAACTGTCTATAGCAATGGATGACAGAGGGTTTATAGGGGGAACAAGTCGTATGAAGATTTTGAGTGAGCTTGGTGGAGTTAGTGATTATAAAACCGGTATGGCGGTTATACGAACTTCTTATAAAGAGATGTCGAATTGTTTGGAGACAAAAGGTCCCTCAAGGTAAATTTACTATAACCACGTCTGCCTGTATCTTATGATGTTCAGTTGTAGGTTGTGTTCACAGTACGTTTAGGCTTAGTCAGTCCTTGTTCTAGCTGCATATATATATTTTTTGCCCATTAGGCGCCTTTTCCACGGGTGTATTTTTCGATCTATTTGTAACGCTGCCATTGCCTTTATCTTGTACTTTTTCCTGGAGATCTCTAGAAAACAAAAGGATATTTAGTAGCTGTTTCTTGGTTCTCGTTTGTCGTTTTAACATATCTATATTATTTATTTGAATACGTAATTTTTCGTCAGTATTGTAATGTGTGAGTTACTCATAATCAAAGACTCAAAACACGGAAAGTTCCATTTAAACCTTAGCACGCCACATCAATGAGAACGTACACTTTGATAACTGGGTCAGAAAGCACATTTAAATAAACGTGATTACCTATATCTTATGCAATGCAAAATTATCCTGACAACAGGTGTCGTCTAATGTGATATTGATACCATGCTAAAACTATTTGAGTTCAATGAGCGCAAAATAACGTTAACCAAGACGAATGATGCTTTCATTTATTATGAACAAAAAAAGCCTTATTTAGATAAAGTATATAAATAAAACGTGTTCTCAACATAATAAACGCACTATCTTATTTAGGAGGGCTATTTTAGAATGTCTTCATAAATTATGCAGATGAGGTATTGAATTTATAATTAGTGTTGTTTGCCTTTACTTCCAAACACCACAAGTAGGGAAGTCCCGTCAGTTACATAAGTGGAGTTACAGCGTTTACAGATTTATTAAACAAATTATGCCTACATCGGAGTAACCAACATTTGCCGATGTTCTTTTAGCTCACAATATACATATGGCAAAATTTTGAACAGTCAGCATTATACAAACTATATCCTGATTCGTATAATTGTTAATTTATTATTTTAAGAAAGACTTAAGTTACATCACATGTATGAAAGTACTTTTTATGTAAAACACTGTTATTACAGAATTCCCTCCATATTTATGCAAATTTGGTCTATTTTTGAATAATTTGCATTTAATTGTATTCATCTTTCTATAAGCGACCTACATATAAAATGTAGAAAATACTTTGTTACTTTTCGGACTAATTCGCTAAAAACGATTTCGTCAGAAACTACCCGAAAGTTCCAGAACACGTTGCTAGAGGGACAAAACCCACACCAATTATTCGTAACAGAAATAGCTACCAAGATTCCAAGACCATAGCATGTTCAGGATTCCAAAAACCGGAAGTTCTTCTGCAGTTGACATTGTTCTTTACCTTTCTAAGACCTACCAACATACTAAATATCATAACTCTATAGCCAAGCTATGAATGTGTTAATAACCTTCAATTAACCTAGTAGTCAAGTAACCCATATTACACTACACCTTATCCCAAATCTATCGGAAATATACGTATCAAGAGCACCAACATTTTACTATATGTCGATATACAAGATGAAAAAAATCACAATCGTATAAATTACATAATTTCTTATATGCCTACCTGACAAGTGTTTCCTGTGTCAGTGAGTTATAATAAAGACCCACATGATCTTTCATGTTAATCATGGCTATTAAAACCATCATGGCCAGCAGGAGCAGGGCGCATTTTTGTTGCCTCATTGTTATCTCTTTACAAGCAAACCTGAAAACAAAGACAAAATTAATACTTGAATGAAAGCCCATCTGTCGTGTTAGAGAGTGCATTATATATATCTGACAAAAGGTTGACGAGATCGACTGGAAATTCATGGTATGTCCCCTCATGGAACAAAGTTAAACTTAAGAACTGAAAAATCCAATGGTTTGACAGTGTTAAAATCTAGTGGTTTTGTTAATCTGTTTATTTTGTTTATTTAAATTTCCACCAGATGTGTGGAAGGGGAGAGAGAACAGGTGAGTCACCTTTACCAGCTCCCTCCCCAAATTACATCATTAAAAAGCATTGTAAAACACTGAAATCATACACATTGTAAGAGTAAATACATAAAGATAAATACAAAAATATGGACATGTAACATGTCAGTCAGTGCGCGTGCGACCTTAATGCTATGCATGTCCCACATCTGCAAGCCGCAGACCATGTACATATGATGTCTGTGTCAAAGTTGTCCTGAAACCTGTAGCTTACTGACAGGACAAGACACCGTTTGAAATGCAAATTGTTAGACTGACTTGACGCTGCAACACCTAAGACCGTAATTTGCTAATTGGCGTTTCTAGTTTATTTCATTCGGTCACTAGTCGGGCGATGTACAACATTGCAAATGTAGATGTTTTGCAACGTCTCGAAATCAGAATGTGAGACCTACCACCCCTAGTTAGTCTAGTGGAGGATAATAAATAGCTCTAGTTAATTAACTAGCATAGTATCCTCCAAAAGTTTAAATTCTAATCAGTAGTAATAGTTATTCTTAGTAATTTCAACCATATTCAAATTCTCACTATGTGTGCTAATTGATGACGTCATTGATCAAAGTTGAACATAGTGAAACTATAATTAAAGTAAAGTGCGTTCACAGAACATTTTACGTCATTTTTGGCTTCCGTGTTGTCATGGGCATTATAAGTCTTAGCAGACCTTAATATTCTGTCATATACCCTTTTTATTTCATTTTGTGCAGTTTTACAGGAAAAACATATTCACACGGTTTCAGCAAAATCACCTAAATTGACGTCAAAATGATGTCGTATTATGCACCAAAATTACTCTTATGATTTAATTTTACTTGTACATTATCCCCTGAAAATGAGTAGTTTGTAAGTTACATAGAAATACCCCACCCCCACCTCGTTAAAAGCAGGGTAATTTGGCTTACAACATGTTCGGTGACAACCCCCCCCCAAAAAAAAACCTCGAATAAAAGGATTATTAATCTTATAACAAGGAGAAGTCGTAGACATCATCCCTCCATGAAATAGCTTGTTATTTTGTAATCTTTTGGTGTATTTCAATAGAGATATTATGAGTCAAACTTTGTTTTTATCAGCAGAATGATTTGTGGTGTCACTTTGTATTGGAAGGGGTTGCCTATATTTATCAAGCTGTCATGTGCAGGCGTTTAGTGTCTTGTTACCATGGTTTGTTTACTTTGATGGCCTGCAGGTCATTTGCCTGTACATGTAGGTCAATGACCAGGCAGGAAAATGACCTGCAGACCAGACAAACAAGATTTATTACCTCAGTCCTGACATGAACAGCCTCACTAGAGAGCACACTCTAGCCATGAGAAAGGAATTTCAATGATACACAAAATTTCACCTTCAAATTACCTACCATCTGCAGACACAAATTTAAACAACTGACTAAACATGTACTGTATAACCTCCTTGACATCACAGATGCTACTTTGGATCAATAAACTATCAATGACCCAAACACAACCAGACTACCTATATTTCCTGCAGACTCTGTCTAGGGGTAAAAATATATTGGGCTGTCTGGGCCTGACCTGCCAGCTGGAGATATAAACAGAAACAATCCGTCCAAACTTTGGGGTCAAACAGACCATCCTATTATGAAATAGTTAAAATGAAACAGGCAAATGTGAAAATCCTTTTAAATTAAGCAATAAATATATATACGACAACCTGCTAATGCACTCTAAAACGCAAAGAGACTCAACAACTACCCACATACCAAATATTATACCAAACCATCCACCAGATTTTCCAAACATTCAACACAAAAAGACCAACTTTAAACATATTGTAAATATCAAACGCAAACAGCTAGGAAGCCCAAATTTAAACCACTAAACCTTGGTAATAACAACTACATGCTACCCTAATATCGCACAAACAGTCCATAATGCGCAAACAACAGAATAAAAAAAATAAACTGCAGTACCAAGGCCAATCACCAGGGGCTCAAAGTCAACCTACACAATCTCCAAGGCCCCATCCATCAATCTGCCAAATATCATACAGTTCCTTTTCACCGATCTTCAGATATCAGACCAAACATGAAACGGAGTAAAAACAATACCCCCCATTTACATGGATGGTAATAAAAATGAGGTACACGTGCCCTAGGTCACGGATAAGGTTTGAAGCACATTATGCCTAAACTGAGAATTCTGTGATGTTTCGGGGGTTTGTCATTGATACCACCATACCAGCTCATTCAGTTTGAAAACCAGAGCACAGAAGATTAAAATATACACTTGTGGTCCTGCAATTGAATAAAAAAATTGTCAATAGGTAGTTAACAATCAAAGAAGTTCACCAGGTGACTATGGAGTCAGTAACGAACACTTCACACATGGGATTAACGTCATAACACCTTTCCTTACTGTCATTATTACCTTCGTCAGAAGGTTATGTGTTTACGTCCACTATAAATAGGGTTTCCTGATTTTGAAATCGGTTTCATGCAAGTTTCATACTGCGAGTTTTGATCTCCGTAGTAAGTGTAGACAATTCCCGATACAGTTGCTCGTCGGGGAGGTTTTGCTCCCATAAGATGTTCAGACACATACGGAGTATCTTTTGTAGCAGCAATTAATGTGCTTTTCAAGGGATTTAGTTAGCGTAAGAAGAAGAAGTCAGCGTCCAAGCTTCACTACCATACTGCAGTATCGATTCTTCTGTGACAATCAGGAAGTTTGATTTTGGTTTTCCATGACTTGGATTTCCAGATTTTATTTAGCTTATGTCAGCTACTCTAGGCGACCGCTTTTCTTATTTCGATTTTTTTTCTGAGTTCTGCATGTTGAAACCCAGGTATTTAAAGTTTTTGACTACCTCTACCCCCTTGGTGACCTCCCTTTGTTGATATACTAGGTCACCGCTCCTGTTTTGGATGACGAAGGGAACAACTTGTTGTATGCCATAAGCTTGGTTTTCTTGGCGTTAAGATTCAAGCCTACTTTTGCGGATTCATTTTCCAGACGCAATAGTAGTTCCTGTGCTTGCTTGATTATTCCTGTCAGCAGAGCCATGTCATCTGCGAAGTCCAGGTCATCAATTACTACAGCAGGATGACGAGTACTCTTTCTGCTTTCAAGTTCAAAATAGAGTTTTGTTTCTCTTCTCCAAGAGTTTGTCTCATTATGAAGTCAAAGACTGTAACAAAGAGGTAAGACGTTAGTGTGTCACCCTGTAGTACACCCGCTGTAATTTTAAACAATTCAGTTTAACCATCGGGGGACAATACTTTCGCACGTGTGTTCTTGTACAGTATGTTGATTACATCAACCAGTGCCTGTGGAATTCCGTACGCTTTTAAGATGATCATCATTTCCCCTGAGAGCTATCAAAAGCTTTGCTGAAATCAATGAATAATTGCCTGCAGATTCTTACTCAGTGCTCCTTTTATTAGTTGTCCAAGAGCAATGATTTGTGAAGTTGTTTAATGACCCGGGCGGAAATCGTTTTGGTGTGGTCTGAGGAGCTTATCTGCCTCAGGTTGTATTCTATTTTGTTGGTTATCTTTGCTCCAACCGAAGCGAGCATAATACCTCTGTAGTTTGTGTATTCAGTTAAGTCACCTGGGTTGGGAACCGGCACAAGGGTTCCAATCGCCAACTGTTAAGGCCTCTTACCTAGGAACAACTTGTTAGCAAATGACAGCATGATGTCATGAAAATCGCACAGTTTTAGAGCCTCGGGAGGAATTCCATCAGGGTAAGCTGCCTTACCCAGTTTTAGTTTGCTCTTGACAGCTATGTATTCCTCCATGGTGAATGGTTTAGCCAAAATGTCAAGTTTGAGAAAGCTCTGAGGGATTTGTTCATCAGGAGAACCCTTGACTACTGGTACTGATCTAAACTACTGGTACTGGACTATGACAGTTAAAGTTAGGTAGCCTTTACATATGAAGTTTGCTCCTAGTATTCTTTTGTTCTAAGGTTTGACCTTAGCTAAAGCATTTTCCGCATCTCTTTATCTATAAGTAGTATACCTTCTCCACCTAAAGAGGCGTTGTTCATATTCCTTCAAGCTGAGGGGGTAATCAATGTGAAATTTGCATAGGTTTGAAATACTACGGGCTCATCTCTATCTTTGTGCACTATTTTGTGGTCTGAAAGGTCTAGTATTGACACAGCATTTGTGTTACATGAGTTTTCTACTTCGTGCCGCTTACGTTCGTCTTGGATTGTCTTGACATTTACAGTACCCACGTTCGGATAGTTTTTGCAGTTTGTCTGTCTCTTTGTTTACTACCCTCGGTTTCCCCATTTTTCGTAGTTGAGACTTTGAAGGAGGAGTGTCATCTGTTCCAGCTGGAACGCTAGTACCATCGGAGATAGAAGTGAGATATTAGAACTATTCTGCTTTAAACACAATTAATACATCGAAGGTGTGGGGCAAAAAGCATATTTATTTGCCCATCACACACACACAAAAAATCAAAGTCATTTTACAAACTTTGCTCCATTTGCCCTCTATACGTGAAATCACGTCTATGTTGTATTACGCCGCAGCAGAAACAAAGTAGTCATTTTATTGATCTAGACTAGTGTCTCCTATAGTCTCTCGTCATGTCATGGTACATGTAGTGCAGGCATTGTATTGGATATGCCCATGCTTACCTTCTTAGTTTTTCTTGCTATTGTTGTTGTTTTTTAAACATTTGAACTTTCATAACGTTGAGAAAGACATGCCCGGGGCCTTCCACACCAAGTCTGAGATCCTAGATGTGTTGGCCAGAGAAAAGGAAGTTAGGACGATGAATTACGTCCCATAAGCGTCCCATAAGACTCCTGCTGACAGGTACTGAGCTGGAAGTCCGTGTTTGATCAGTCTACTCGGCAACAATATGGTCCTGCCAGGTGACAGTCTCTCTCGGCTCTGTTGCCTAGCATTTGAATGATGGACAATATCTCAGCCATCTTCATGTTGTTGTCTGACTATGTCGACTTTAGTGACGAAAAGAAAGAAGACACGTTAGTTACACAACCACATATTTCCGCCAAAAATTGGAAAAAAACACTGATTCATAAAGGAAGTAAATTGATTGATTTTTATTTAGCTAAACAGACCAACAAACTTGGCCGAGAAACTTAAATAGATAAAAGTAAACAGCCAAAATGGATGGGGAAATGTTAATATCACGTTTCAATACCACAAAGCAGTACCAAATACTAATACAGTGCTTTGTAGTAACAATTGCTCTTAAAACCTTCTTATCATACTTTTGAATAAAATGTTATTGAGACCTCGATGTATTTATTGGCATAATTCCAAATGCATGGATATAACTTATTAAAATCATTAAAAAATTTTGCATCTCTTAAAAGCAACTAGGGTAATTTCCCTAATATTTTGCCCAATATATGGAACGACTGCTTTTAAACCAATCTTGCACGATAGTTAAACTAAAACCAACTGGAATAAATAATAAATATAAATATATAAACATAAATATAAATATAAATATAAATATAAATATAAATATAAATATAAATATAAATATAAATATAAATATAAATATAAATATAAATATAAATATAAATATAAATATAAATATAAATATAAATATAAATATAAATATTTATTTATTTATTCCAGTTGGTTTTACTTTAAATATCGTGCAAGATTGGTTCTAAAGCAGTCGTTCTATACATTGGGCAAAATACTTACCATAGACGCTTTCAAAGTCAAAAGTTTCCCTTCAAAACTCCTAGTAACAACTGAGTGTAACAACCGTCTGCATGTCATCATACACCTGAACAAATGAGTCAGGCAGACGTAATCACTGGGTGTCATCCCAACACTTACTATACCGGTGTGTCGACTTTATATAGACACAGCTTAGCTCACCCGCTTGACTTCTGTTTACATTTACAGCATATTGTAATCCTAGACTAAATCGGTATTCTTTTACGTAATAGCCTGTATCGTAATATTTTAGCCCATACCACAAGTATAGAATAAAAAAGAATTTTGTAGTCTAATGTTCCTTCGCCTTACTTTGATATTTTAATGACTAGGTTTAAGTTCTTTCTTTAGACAAAATCGATAAAAATAAATTGGCATAAAAGTAGAGTGCGAAAATATGATAAGTGTATTTTTGGTGTACTTTTTCAATCTTGTCTCCACACTGACTTTTGTCTTCTTGATACTGACTTTTGTCTTCTCTACACTGACTTTTGTCTTCCCTACAATAACTTTTGTCTTCCCTATACTGAATTTTGTCTTCCATACATTGACTTTGTCTTCAAAAGAATGCCTTTGTCTTACATACACTAAAATTGTCTTCCCTACACTGACTTTTGTGTCCCTACATTGACTTTTGTCTTCTCTATGCTGACTTTTGTGTTCCCTACACTTAATCTTGTCTAAATTAACTTTCGTATTCCCTGCACTGACTTTTGTCTTCACTACACTGACCTTTGTCTTTTCCAAACTGCCTATTGTCTTCCCTACACTAACCGTTGTCCTCCCTATACTGACTTTTGTCTTCCCTACACTGACTTTTGTCTTCGCTACACTGACTTTTGTCTCTCATACACTGACTTTCGTCTCCTCCACAATAACTTTTGTCTTCCCTACACTGACTTTTTATTTCCCTAAACTGACTTTTGTCTTCCTTGTACAATAACTTTTGTCTTCCCTACACTGACTTTGTCTTCCCTATACTGACTTTTGTCTTCCATACACTGACTTTGATTTCTTAAGACTGACTTTGTCTTCCATACACTGAAATTGTCATCCATACTGTGACTTATGTCTCCCCTATGCTGACTTTTGTCTTCCCTATACTGATTTTTATCTTCTCCACACTGACCGTTATCTTGCCTAAACTTACTTTTAACAAGTAAATTTAGGCTTAACAATACGTTTTTCATACAATCATTGGGTCAGTCTACTGAGGAAGACCAGAGTGACTGGTCGAAAGCTCTAGGTGAGAGAATTCTTGGTGTTGGATCAAAAGTTTTAACTTTAAACAAATAAGTTTTCACTTCCACACACTGACTTTTGCCTTCTCGACACTGACTGTTGTCTTCCGTAAACTGACTTTTATCTTTCTTACAATAACTTTTGTCTTCCCTACACTGACTTTTATCTTCCCTACACTGACTTTGGTCTTCCCTACATTGACTCTAGTCTTCGCTACACTGACTTTCGTCTTCCTTACAATAACTTTTGTCTTCCCTAAACTGACTTTTATCTGTCTAATAATAACCTTTGTATTCCCTGCACTGACTTTTGTCTTTTCCACACTGATTTGTGTCTTCGCTACACTGTCTTTTGTCTTTGCTACACTAACTTTGGTCTCTCATACACTGACTTTCGTCTCCTTCACAATAACTTTTGTCTTCACACTGACTATTGTCTACCCTACACTGACTTTTTATTTCCCTAAACTGACTTTTGTCTTCCTCGTGCAATAACTTTTGTCTTCCCTACACTGATTTGAGTTTTTTCTAAACTGACTTTTGTTTTCCATACACTGACAGTCTTTTGCACACTAAATTTTGTCTTCCCTACACTGACTTTTATCTTCCCTACACTGACTTTGGCCTTCACTATTCTTGGGTTTTAGTCACGTGACCCGACCTTAGCGACGGGTGTTATCCGCCATGTTGGTGTACCTACAACCCCGCGTAGCCTACGTGCTATATACATGGTTTATTGTTTTGTAGCTGGTTGCGGGTCAAAAAAAGGGGTAAACACAGTGTATCTTTTCAATGTGTGCCAAGGTGATTACAAATCAAGGAAAGGACCAAGAAAAACTGACCGTAAAACATCGCAGATTGTGGATTTTTGCGAGCAGCCGCGGGGATACGGCCAAAGAAATATCCCGAGATTGTGGCGAGTTACTATCGCCAAAGACTCTGGGCAAGCTTCACCCGCCTGGGTCCGACACAATGTTGCCTGGGTCCCTACTAAAAAAAACCTTGGAAGAAAGAAGTACAGAGATTGGGACGAAAGCAAAGAACAGAAGGAGGGGCGAGGGCCGAAAGGGCGAGAGAACGCAACAAGCGGGCCGCGGAACAGTCGGGTCTGGCGGCTTGACCGGGCGGGGCTTCTGACGCCAAAAGCCGCCCGACGCCACACAATGCTGCTGGATATCGCGTACGTGATCTTCCCTACACCGAGGTCAGAAATGTTCCTGTACATGCAGAAATGGCACCCAGGAATTTCCATTAAACATCGACAAAACAATAGTTTACACGGTGCAAGTGAATTTATTTTGATACACGTGGCAGTCTGACTCAATTTGAGCCTAAGTGCTAAAACTCTGAGTTCACCCTGACAGCCCAACAAAATTTCCGATCTTAGCACTAAAATTGCGTTAAGATTCTGCTTATCATGATACCCTAATATTGTAATGTCAATGTTCACAAGCTAATTCATGCATAGGTTGTGAGAGGTTACCCAAAAACTTTTTTTTTCACGGCAAAACTACAACTACGGGTACGTAAACAAAATTATGCCCGGAGGCTCCCCTCCCAACGCCGATGATTTACTCCCGCAAACTCGAGGCGGCCAAGAAAATTTCTGTCGACAGGGATGACAAGCCGTCATGTGAAATTCTCATTCTAATGGGGTTCCAACAGAGACATGAGTACTTTTTGGTGCTTGAAAAAATATTCATGAACTCCAGTTTGTCAGCGGCGAAACCGAAGGGGCTAGATGAAAGTGCACAACAAACAAAGCCGCCGGCGGGCATGAATCAAACTGGCATTTTGCATTATTACACACAGAACCCATAATTTTGAAACAGCAACCGATAGTAAAACAAGGATTTACATTACCAAGAAAAGCTGAAACTTAGGCTTACCATAATTTG